CCACATAAGCCTTCCGCAACAAAGGGCTCAGGGCCTTCGTGTGGCAAAGCCCCTAGGCTCTACCTTGAGAACCTCATACCTGCCAAGGGGGTATGTAACCCACTCACGGTTCCCTAGGACTCCCTACTACTCCCTGAGGCTCCCTAAACTTCCTACTACTCCCTGAGGCTCCCTAAACTTCTTTAAGGTTCCCTAGGTACCTACCCCCCGTGAACCCCCCCTCCCTTAAGAACCCACGCATGATAGTTCTCCATGAAGTGCGGGGGTGTACGTTGGCTTCTTCACGATTTTGAAAGGGCTCGGAACCTACCAAAGAAGTAAGACTAAACTCCCTAGACCCCAATAGCCTCGGGACTCTAAGCCTTAAACCCGGCATCTTAAACCCTAGGGGAGCCTTTAAAAGCGGATGAAGTCTATGTTGGTCGTATACGGGGTGCCATTATGCTGGGAAATACTCATGTCGGTTAAGGGGGTTGGATGCACATTCTGTGCCGTTTTTGGAGCTCAGCCTTCAACTCTAGACCGCAAAACTCCTCAAACCTACACCCTAAACCCTAGACCCTAGACCCTACACCCTAAACCCTACACCCTCAACCCTAAACCCTCCCCCCCCCCCCATCCCCCCTCGTTTCTGAAGGAGGCTGCCTCGGCCTCCTTGGTCAAGGAGCTCAGGGCCAAAGATCTGGAGGCAAGCCCAGCAAAAGGGTTGAAGATTCAGAAATCACGTTTTGCGGTTTAGGGTTTAGGGTTTGGGGTTTAGGGTTGAGGGTTTATAAGTTGTGTGTGTATACATGTATTCGCATGTTGAATATAGCTTCGTTGTCCCCCCAGTCTCGGCGTGGTTGTTAGACCTTTAAGTCAGCTCGCAGCCTCTCAACTACCAACCCCACGAGAATCCCTGCGGTGCCCACAGGGTGGGTTTAGGGTTCGGGGTTGTATGCCAGCAGTGCCCACCACCAGAAAATCCGGCTGGAATGCCTACCTCCAAAAAAAACCCCATAGCGTGCGGCCCACTTGCCATAGGCAGGGTTGCAAGGGCCCCAAAGGGCCCCAAACCCTAAGCTCAAAAAAGGACTACCCAGAGCCCCAAACCCTCAAGTCCCCAAACTCGAGTGGTGAACCCTCACCCTTTCAATGCACACAAGCCCTCTACACCTCACAAAGCCCGCAATCCTAAACCCTGAGCTGAAAACCCTAGACCCTAAACGCTGATACCCTACACCACACAATCCCGATGAAACCCTATTAGGGTTTAGGCTTTGTAGGGTTTAGGGTTTAGGGTTCGGGTTTAGGGTTTAGGGTTTAGGGTTTAGGGTTTACGGCGCAATCCTTACGAACTTCATCAACCCAAAGCTCGAGGGTTTCCCCACTACCCTCCTCTATACTACACCCCCCCAGGTTCCCCCCATAATTAAAGAGGAGGTAGTACCCCTAAACCCTAAACCCTAAACCCTAAACCCGAAACCCTAGACCCTAGACCCTAGATCCTAGACCCTAAACCCTAAACCCTAGACCTAGGTAGGCCCTTGGGACATTTTATATTTTCCCTTATTTGGGTTTAAGAGCATCATATTCAGGAATATTTTTCAGAGGGTTTTAGGGGCCATCCTAGAGACCCTAGACCCTAGACCCCAGACCCTGGACCCTAAACCCTAAACCCTAAACCTGGGGTGGGGGGGGGCGATGTAGTTTTGAGGGGGGGGGAAGTAGGGAAACCCATGACAAGCTCGAGGCCCTAAACCCTATACACCCTAAACCCCAAACCCCAAACCCCAAACCCTAAACCCTAAACCCTAAACCCTAAACCCTAAACCCTAAACCCTAAACCCTAAACCCTAAACCCTAAACCCTAAACCCTAAACCCGGGGGGGGGTAGTGAAAATCTCCAGGCGGCCCTCATCTCCGCCCTGCCAGGGGCTTTGGACAAGCGCCCTGGGCTGCATCCAAAGCACTCAGGGCCACCCTAAACCCTAAACCCTAAACCCTGAATCCTAAACCCTAAACTCTAAACCCTAAACCCTAAACCCTAAACCCTAAACCCTAAACCCTAAATCCTAAGCCATAAACCATAAACCCTGATCACTTCTAACACCCATCCCTTCTAAGCCTAGCCCTAAACCCTTTTAACCGCTAACCCTAACCCTAAAATTCTAAACCCGACCTCCTAAAACGCTAAACCCCTAAACCCCTAAACCCCTAAACCCTAAAACCCCAAAACCCTAAAGCCCTAAACCCTTCAAGGCTCTCAAGAGTTGAGCCCAAACCCTTACCCCCAACACCCCTAAAAACCCTAAAACCCTAACCCCTAACACCCCTAAAACCCTAAACCCCAAAATCCTAAAGCCCTACACCCTCCGACGCTCTCAAGAGTTGAGCCAAAACCCTAACCCCTAACACCCCTAGAAACCCTAAAACCCGAAAACCTTAAACCCTAAACCCTAAAACCCTAAACCCTAAACCCTAAACCCTAAACCCTAAACCCTAAACCCTAAACCCTAAACCCTAAACCCTAAACCCTAAAAAACCCTAAAAGAGTTGAGCCCAGGCTTCTTGCCGACGGGTTCGGCGGTCGCCCGCCGCCGCCAGCCTCGCCGAAGCCCGCGAGGCTTGTGAGCCGGCAAGCAGAGTTGCCCCGAAGGGTTGGGTTGAGGGTTTAAAGGGGTTTTAAGCGGGTCTATAGGGGGTTAAAGGGTTTCTAGGGGTTTATAGGGTTTATAGGGGTTATGTGGGGTTATCGGGGTTTACAGGGTTCATAGGGTTTATCGGGTTTAGGGCTTAGGGGTTGAAATTTCGGGTTCAGGAGGGTTTTGGGATGGTTCCAGAAGCATCGGGTTTCTTCGCGGACTAAGTGAACCCCATCGTGGGGTTTAAGAGTTTAAGGTTTCGGGCTCATGAACCCTAAACCCTAAACCCTAAACCCCAAACCCTAAACCCTAAACCCTAAACCCTAAACCCCAAACCCTAAACCCTAAACCCTACTCATGAACTTGGCTAAGAGGTCTGTGGCTCAAGGGATTCAGACTCGGACCTGTAAGAGTGTACCCCCTTAACATACTCCTACTTTGGCCCTTATATTCCCTTATAGGGATCCTTAAAAAGGGGTCCAAAACCCAACGGTGCAACCTCCAGGGTCCAAGGTAGAACCCCTAAAGTGACGGGAGGCTTGCGGTCTAGGGTTCTGCTTTAAGGGCTGACGGTTCTTAGTCTAAGTAATTGCCCTCTCTTTGGTACCTCTTCACCTTAGAAGAATGTGACAGGGCCCATGTGCCGCCTCTGAAAGCACTTGGAAACTTTGGCTTACCCCTCCCTGGAGGACGCGCCCACGCCCCTCTGGTTCAACTCTGAGCGCGACGCAGGCTTAAGACGAGCCTCACTCGGTCAGTTGTGTAAACTAGGACTTCTAGGGTTTAGGGTTTAGGGTTTATGGCTACTAGGACCCAGAGGTGGCCCTTATTTCTTGTTTTGGGGCTTAGGTTCCGTTCTGGAACACAGGTACAAGCACTCTGGGTTTACACGCCCCTTGGACTCTTCAACCCCAAACCCCCACAGGCTCCCCAGAACCCCAAAATCCACCAACTCCGCCACAGCGGCGCTGCCCCACGCCGAAGATGTGCCGTGGGGTGAAAACAGAGCGCCGTCAAATCCAAGGCCGATTTGGTGAGAAAAGGTGCGAGGTGGGGTTTGGGGTTTATAGGGATTTGGGTTTAGGGTCTTTATTTTTGTGTGGGAATACGATTAAGGCCCTTAATCAAGGGCTACGTTATTGCGGGTACGAACTCCTGACGGGAAACCGTTGTTTTGTTACAATATTTGCAAGGGCTTCTTTCTTATCGTTCGCAGAATGCATTCCGCTTCTCGTGAACGTAGGCCGTCTTTCTTTGCCATCCATTCGTTATGTATGTTGTTCATAAATACCCCTGAGCTACACATGTTGGGAGTTTCGGCTATGTTGTGCCGAACTCCCGAACCCGAAGCCCCCCAAACCCCAAGACCTTCTTAAACCCCAAGCTCTACACCACCCTACACCGAAAACCCCTCGAACTGTATAACCCTAAGCCCTAAACGTTTAGGGCTTAGGGTTGAGGGTTTATACTTACAAGCCCCCTCAGTTCCCGAGGTGTCTTCAATTGCGGTTCTAAGTACCGCTGAACCCCCAGATTCCTCAACTGACAGATTCTGAACAGGGGGGAACTGGGTTTTGGCCCTTAAATGGTGACCCCTTGTTTACCCCTTTTTTAACCCAATAAAACTCAAGGGCCCATACTTCAGAACCCTCAAGGGAGGTAAGGGACCATATTCAGGACCCTTGAAACTACCCTAAACAGTAAACCCTAAACCCTAAACCCTAAACCCCAAACCCTCAAAAGCCCATATAACTACCCTTAGAGCCTGGGGGATTGGGGTTCAGGGAATGAGGCAGGGGGGTTCCTGTAAGTTGCAGGAGTTCGGGCTTCTGAAGCTTCAGCTCTAGGGCGTTTAGGGCTTAGGGCCTTTAGGGTTTAGGGCTTATCGGGGGCTTATCGGGGTTTCGGGCTTATAGGGGTTTAGGGCTTAGGGTATTGGGTTACGTATGGCTTAGGGCCTAGGGGTTTCGGGGTGAGGGTTTGGGGGTTTGGGGGGTCTTATTGGGCTCACAAACCCGGACATTCCGGGCTCAGGGTTTAGGCCTTCGGGTTTAGGGTTTAGGCTCTCGGGTTTCGGGGCCCTGCGCCCCTAAACCGTAAACCCCAGCCCCTAAACCCTAAGCCATCCTAAGCCCGAAGCCTTACACCCGAAACCCTAAACCCCCCAAACTTTCGACCCAAGTGTGCGAGGGTGTGGGTGTGCAGGGGTATCGAAGGCCCAGAAGGATAGGGCTGAGTGTGGTTTATTCCTTGGGGTTTAAGAGCTTAGAGTTTAGGGTTTAGGGTCAAGGGCTTAGCTTTTTTTTTTAGGGTTTCGGGTTCAGGGCTTCGGGCTCTCAGTTGGGGTATTCAAAGGCTTCTAGGGACGTGCTGCAGGTGTCTCACGAAATCCGCGAGGCACGTGGTTCGTAGGGGTTTCGTCGGTTTAGGCTCTAGAGGGTTTGTACCCTATGCCCGGGCCTTATGGTATAAAGCAAGTTGCCAACTTCGTGTACCGTCTCCCTAAACCCTAAATTCTAAGCCCTGAACCCCATGACATCCCCTCGGCGCCAACTCCACTCCTCATCAAAACCCCAAAGGTCATTGAACCCTAAACCCTAAACCCTAAACCCTAAACCCTAAACCCTAAACCCTAAACCCTAAACCCTAAACCCTAAACCCTAAAGCCCAAAAACCCTAATCCTTGTCCTACCCTTTCCAAACTCGGCAGGCTTCTGGTTGGAGTCTGGAGTCTGGGGTCTGCGTTTTCTCAGGGGATCGCAGGGCTTAGGGCCGTACCCTAATCCTTAGCCCTTAACCCTTAACCCTTAACCCTTAACCCGTAACCCTTAACCCTTAACCCTAAACCCGAAACCCTAAACCCTAAACCCTAAACCCTAAGCCCTAAACCCTAAACCTGGAGGACTGAGAAAATCGGGCCTGCTTATTTTCCGGTTCGTGTAGAGTTTTAGGCCTTTGGGTTCGGGGTTGTGGCTCGGTGTTCAGGAGGGAAGCCCCGACCAGCGTCAGAAGTGTTGCGCAACGTGCAAGGCGTACCTTGTTCAGGGCTTATAGGGTTTAGGGTTTTAGGGTTTAGGGTTTAGGGTTTAGGGTTTAGGGTGAAATCCTAACCAGACCCTTGGACCCTAAACCCTTGGCCCCTAAACCCTGAGCCCTTGGACCTTAAACCCTCGGACCCTAAACCCTTGGACCTTTACCCCGGGATCCTAAACGCTGGGATGCGCTAGGGGCTTAGGGTTCCGAATCTGGGACCCACAGGGAGCCCTTCTTCCCTTCTTCGGGGGGTTTAGGATTTAGGGTTGGGAGGGTTTCGGGTTTAGGGTTTAGGGTCCCTTCTGAGCGACACCGAGAAGAAAAGGGAGTCTGGAATGAGTCTGGGACCCGGTGTAGCGGCTTTGGGGCATTCAGGATTTGGGGGTTCAGGGGTAGACCTAGCCCTAAACCCTAAACCCTGAACCTTGAACCCTGAACCCTAAACCCTAAACCCTAAACTTTCCCCAAAACCAACTCCCGAAGTGCTTTCTTCGTCCCAGCCGCGCGCCCCCCCGCGCACCAGGCGATCGTGCAGAGAGCTCAGCAGTTCAACATCGTCATGGCGGGGCCCCCCAAGGGGTTTAGGGTTTAGGGTTTAGGGGTTAGGGTTTAATTAGGGTTTAATTAGGGTTTATAGGGGTTTTTGGTTTAGGATTGGGTTTAGGGTTTAGGGTTGAGACCCCCAACCCATGTTGACCAGACCTCATGCAGGCATTCAAGAGCCCAAACATCTCCTCAACCCGGGGCCCGGGGCCTGGAACCGAACCTCAAGCTACTATAGCGTCGGAATACTTACTAATACAGTCTCGGACAAGATAATTTACTGACTTGTGACGTCGTGGCTGCCTTGGTAAGAGTTGTTGATGGAATGGCTTTTGGGAAAGTCGGAGGTGTACTTCTTGCAGCTTCAAGCCTAAGCTCTCCTCTTGCTTGGACGTGGCCAAGCGCAAGAGAGCAGAAATGCAGCATTTTTCAAGTTTCTAATTCATTGCCGTAGTTTCAAATTAGTTTCAGAATAGTTTCCGCAATTTCCAAAAATACAGGAATCTCAGAGGTTCCTGGTTTTCACAAAGCGCGGGCAGAAATTGCAGTTGCCCCTTAACAGCGATTTTGCAACTGGATTTGAAAATTAATTTGAAACTAATATGAAACTATGGAAACGAATTTGAAACTTGAAAAATACCACATTCCGGACTTTCTGCCCCCATTCTGGCCCCCCCTCACATGCGGCCCTCTCGCAGGTGAAGTTGACTTTGGTCAGCCGTGACTAGAGACCAGAGCTTCCGAAAGCTTGCCAGTCTCCGGACTGTTGATGGACGAAATCCTGCATCACTTGTACTACGCGTGTCATCCCTTCCAAACCCTGAATCTTAACATTGCTGTCCTTGCAATGCTTCGAAAGGGCATGTGTGTGAATGACCGAAATCCTGTATCATCCATATGCGCACGCAACATTGAAATTCGAGGGGCGCGGGGAGCTCGATTACCAACCGTCGCACACGTGTAACGTAGGGGGTCATGCAAGGTTTTGTCCATCCAAAGTATTATTCCCTTATGGCCCCTGCATAATTATGCTATGTTACTAGAAATACCCCCAACACCCTATCCCAATTATTAAGGCGCCTATGTTAACCCTGGACCCTACACCCTAAAGGCCAGGCTGCTGGGGTTTAGGGTTTTGTTAGGGGGGGCTCTTCAGGTTGTTTGCAAACCCTAAGCCCTCGTCCCGAAAGCCTAAACCCTATAAACCCCCAAGCCCCAAACCCCAAACCCTAAACCCTAAACCCTAAACCCTAAACCCTAAACCCTAAACCCTAAACCCTAAACCCTAAACCCTAAACCCTAAACCCTAAACCCTACCTTCCCCAGCTACCATTCCTCCAGCAGTCAGCATCAGCCTTGTGCTGCAGGAAGACATTGCCATCACGCACCTGACCTACGGCAAGGATGGGCTTCCACCATACACACACAGCATCCGCTGGAAGCCCTGTTGTAGCCCTAGGCCCTTCAATCCCCCCAAAACCGAGCCTGAACCCTCCCCTAACCCTACACCCGTAGAACCACAAACCCTAATGTTCCGCAGCCCTGACCTTTTAGGCCTTCATATTTCGGTTGAGGTGGTTAGAATTGTAGGTTGGGTTTGGGGGTTTAGGTCTCAGGGTTGAGGGTTTAGGGTTCAGGGCTTAAAGTGAAGGTTTGAAGCCTAGGGTTCAGGGTTTAGGGTTTAGGGTTTAGGGTTTAGGGTTTAGAGTTTAGGGTTCAGGGTTCAGGGCTACAGCCTGCGCGCAAGCCACTAACTGCCATTGACCAGGAATACAGACGGGATGATGAGAACACTAAACCCAAACCCTAAACCCGTTTCAACGGCCCCCCCCCCCCTGCTTGTTCCATCCAGCTGTAGGGTCTACCTACACCCTAAACCCTACACCCTAAGCGCCGGAAAGCCTAAAAACCCTAAACCCCTAAGCGTCTACCCTACACCCTAAAACCACCCTAAAACCACCCTAAAACCACCCTAAACCCTCCTAAACCCTCCTAAACCCTCCTAAACCCTAAACCCTAAACCCTAAACCCTAAACCCTAAACCCTAGAAGCCCTCAAGCCCTAAGCTCTTTTCCGACTCCTGGGCTGTGTGGTCTGAGAGGGCAACCCTCCCCCCTCCCCCTCCACCCCTCCACCTGAAAAGCCGTTTCGAGTCGTTTCCGAGTACCCTGAAAGCCCAAAGCAGGCCAATTATAGCATGTGTGTGTGTGTGTGTTCACAGGCATGCACACTATATAGGGGCAACGATTGAGGTTTAACCCGAAACCCAAACCCTATGCCCTATACCCTAAAAACCCAAAACCCTATACCCAGAACTTACTAAACCCTAAGCCCTGAAGCCTGAAGGGAAGGGTGATCTCTCGGCGAGGATTTTGCCCGAGCCATCGAGGACAAGCAGGCGCCGGCCCTCATCGGGGCTGAGGGTCCAGAGGTTTGTGCTCTTAACGGTTCAGATTTGATGAACCCGAAACTCATAAACCCATACACGTTAAACCCTACAAACACTGCAAACCCTACATTCCCTACAAACCTTACAAACCCTGCAAACCCTACAAACCCTACAAACCCTTCAAACCCTACAAACCCTACAAACCCTAAACCCTAACCCTCCCTAACCCCCCTGAACCCCAAACCCTACAAACCCTAAAAATCCTAAACCCTAGACCCTCCCTAACCCCCCTCAACCCCAAACCCTACAAACCCCAACAACCCTACAACCCCTAAACCCCAAACCCTACAATCCCTACAAACCCTACAAACCCTAAACCCCAAACCCTAAACCCTAAACCCTAAACCCCAAACCCTAAACCCTAAACCCTCCTTGGTCGCTGCAGGTGGCTCAGCAGGATGCGGAGAGGCAGAAGTTCATCGTGGAGACGCCCGGCATCCGCTAGGAAGGATTTTCTTGTCGACGGTTTGGGGGTTTAGGGTTTAGGGTTTAGGGTTGAGGGTTGAGGGTTGAGGGTTGAGGGTTGAGGGTTGAGGGTTGAGGGTTGAGGGTTGAGGGTTGAGGGTTTTGGCGTTTAGGGTTGAGGGTTTTTGGGGTTTTTAGTGTTTGTAGGGTTTAGGGTTTACGTTGTAGGGTTTATGGTTTTCGGTGTTTGTGGGGTTTTTAGTGTTGAGGGTGTGTAGGGTTTTGGGGGTTCAGGGTTAGGGTCGAGGGGTTTCAAGGCTTAGGCGTTTCTGGGTTTAGGGTTGCGGGCTTTCAGGGTGTTAGTTGCAATCCCCAAGCCCCTATCAACCCCCCCCCCCCTCCCCCCCTCCCCTAAAGCTTGGCTTTTTCACAGGCTATCTAAGTCAATGTCGCGTTGTGCTAAAATCAGTACCTCGGATACCTCAAGGGGCCCTTGGTGAATCCCGAGCCCTAAACCCTAAACCCTAAACCCTAAACCCTAAACCCTAAACCCTAAACCCTAAACCCTAAACCCTAATTAAAGCCTAAAGCCTAAAGCCTAAAGCCTAAAGCCTAAAGCCTAAAGCCTAAAGCCTAAAGCCTAAAGCCTAAAGCCTAAAGCCTAAACCCTAAACCCTAAACCCTAAACCCTAAACCCTATACCCTAAACCCTAAACCCTAAAACCCTTCGTCCGGCCCAAGGAAAGCCGAGCAGGAGAGACAGGCCACCGTGGTGGCCCAAGCTGGCGGAGGGAAGGGGGGCGGGAGCGAGGGGCGTTGTGGGTTTGGTTTAGGTTTTAGGTTTTAGGTTTTAGGGTTTAGGGTTTAGGGTTTAGGGTTTGGGGTTTGGGGTTTAGGGTTTAGGGTTTAGGGTTTGGGGTTTAGGGTTTAGGGTTTGGGGTTTAGGGTTTAGGGTTTGGTGTCTTTTTTTGGCGAGAAGCACCCGAAATGCCCTTTTGGATGTCCGCTTGAACTCTAAACCCTAAACCCTTGCGACCCTTGAAATGCCCTTCAAAAAACCTTTATAGATTTTTGAAAATCCCTGAAAAGTCCGTTAGTTCCTAAGCCCTAAGCCCAGGGTACCCTTTAGCCCCTTACTGAAGCGTACTGGGGGGGGGGGGGGTGCAGGCGGGCTTCGGATTTCAGAGCTGAAGGAGGCATGCGGGAGTGCGGGAGTTTCCCACAGGTAGGGTTTAGGGTTCAGGGTTTGGGGTTTCGGGTTTAGGGTTCAAGGTTTAGGCTTCAACGCCTACCCTAAGGTAAAGTAGAACTCCTCAAAAAGGGCTTCGGGTTGTGGGGTGCTTGGGGCCATTGGGCGTTAGCCGTCTCGGGCGGCCGAGCCCATCGGCGCCAGCAGGACGCCAAGTTTGGGGAGAAGGTTTAGGGGCTTAGGGTTTAAAGATTATTGAAACCTAAACCCTAACTTGGGGGAAAGGTTAAGGGTTGCGGGTTTAGTTTAGGGCGTTTAGGTGATTTAGGGGTTGAGGGAAACCATAAACCCTAACCCCTATACCCTAAACCCTAAACCTGAACCCTGAGCCCTAATTAAACCCCAAACTCTAAACCCCAAACCCTAAACCCTAAACCCTAAACCCTAAACCCTAAACCCTAAACCCTAGAAGCCGTGGATGCACATCGCCTTAGGTCATTCGCTCCGAGGGCGAGGCCGAGGCTGCGAAGATGATTTCAGAGGCGGGTTCAACAAGGCTTTGTAGGCTTCAGGGTTCAGGGTTCAGGGTTTAGGGTTTAGGGTTTAGGGTTTAGGGTTTAGGGTTGAGGGTTGAGGGTTGAGGGTTGAGGGTTTAGGGTTTAGGGTTTAGGGTTTAGGGTCTAGGGCTTGGGGTTCAGGGTGTAGGGTTAACGGTCTCATCAGTAGTTCCCTCTAGAACCTGCCTTCATTTGTGGGTATTGGGATGTTCCCTTATACTAACAGTCCTGACTACGGATTAGAGTACCCTCCATTATAATCCCTATTAACGACTGTTAGAAAAAGGGAACATCCCAATGTGGGTACGAAAGGCCACTACTATTTGTTTCCCCCTGGAATGAGGGAATGAGGAGTCTATAGGTGCCGCATTCCCTCATTCCCTACGAAGAGGCAGCCAGGTTTAAGGGGTCAAGGTCTAGAAGGCCTTAAGCAGTCGAAGCTCGTAAGACAGATGACCTTCACTAGGCTAAATCATTCGGGGGGGGGGGGGAAACTAGGGGGGGGGGGGGGGGTAGTATAGTAGTAGGGGGTGCCGCAATTCTGCGAGCCCCTCAGCCCCAAACTGCTCCACTCCAAAGCGCATGCCGCTGTCTGAGCCCAGAACTCTGAGGTTTAGGGTTTAGGGTTTAGGGTTTAGGGTTTAGGGTTTAGGGTTTAGGGTTTAGGGTCTTAGTTCAGGTTTTGGGGCAGAGAGTTGAGGGCTTGGGCTGAAAGCATCGTGGAATCCCGAGAATTCTACACCCTCTCAGGTTTTTGGGGGTACACACCCCGGAAGGCACTCTAATGGAAAGCCCAGACAGGGAACCCCCAAGAATCGAGTACCCTGAACCCTAAAACGTAAACCCTAAACCCTAAACCCTAAACCCTAAACCCTAAACCCTAAACCCTAAACCCTAAACCCTAAACCCTAAGCCCTAAACCCACCCTAAACCCTAAACCCTAAACCCCGTACTAAAGAATGTAACTTACCAGGGTCCTTCTATTCCCTTACATTCCTACTTTATTGTCGGGGTTCCGAGTTTGACCATCAGGATACCTTCAACCCCCAAGCCCAAAGCGTGAATGCGCGCACGCCGTAAGAGCTCAGCAAGCATCGAACGGTTCTTGATTGAAACACACCTGAAAGCCCTCAATCCTTGCCTACACCTTACTTAAGTTAGGGTTCAGGGTTCAGGGTTCAGGGTTAGGGTTTAGGGTTTAGGGTTTAGGGTTTAGGGTTTAGGGTTTGGGGTTTGGGGTTCAGGGACTCTCAACCCTAATTCCCAAAACCTTTGCAGGCTCTGAAGGAGCATGGCAGTGGCTTGATCGAGGCCTCGGGGGCTCTTGGAGTTTCCATGGTTCAGGGTTTAAGGTCGAGGGTTTAGGGTGTAGGGTTCAGGGTTTAGGATTTAGGATGTAGGGTTAAGGGTTAAGGGTTTAGGATGCGCCCGGACTTGTGTACGTTAAAGAAAGAAGGTTTGGGGTTTAGGGTTTCAGGTTTAAGGCTTGGGGGGATTTAGGATTTTCGGGTTTAGGGGTTTAGGTTTTTAGGGTTTTAGGGTTTTGAGTCTATGCCTTTTCCCCTCAGCATCTGTTCCATCTTCCCTCATTCTATCTTGTGTGAAGGTGTCGGGTAGCATTCGCATGTTGGCTGATTGTTTATACAAGAGCTCGGTCTCGCTCCCGTGACTCCTCTTGCCGCCAGCTGCGCGTTGACCGTGACTGGCTTTTCATCGGAGGTTTTCGGTTCAGGGTTTGGCGCTCATGTTGCGCATTACACTGCCGAGTCCGCGAGCACTGCCTGCTCACTTAGTTCGGTGAGGTTTGTAAGGCAACCGTTGTGAAGATGTGTTCTGACCCGCCCCGGGAGGGGTCACGAAACACAAGCCGCTGCTCTCTGAAGGGGTGCCACGTGCGAGGCGGTGCGTAAACCGTGCATCGTTGTGGCTTGCTGGTGTGGCTTGGGCCTGGCAAAAGTGCGCAAGATTGCAAACAACCGCGAAGTGAGGCACCTTCCGTTTGCCTTAAAGCTTGTGAGGCAACTCACAGGTTAGCACCTCAACATAAGCTGTGCTCTTGAGTACAGCTTGGACGACGAATCCAAGAGGACGCCTGACCGCGAAGGATGCATGGACTTGTTGGCATCGGGCAGTACGAGTTCAGGTCTAGGGTTTAGGGTTTAGGGTTTAGGGTTTAGGGTTTAGGGTTTAGGGTTTCGGGTTTAGGGTTTAGGGTTTAGGGTGTTTTTTTAAGTTCAGAGGGCTTCAGGGGGCGACTTACCTTGGTGAAAGGATCCATCTGCTCTTCTGGGTTCAGGGCTTTGTGGGCTTAGGGCTTTAAAAACTTAGGGTTACCCTAACCGACCCTAAACCCTAAACCCTAAACCCTAAGCCCTAAGCCCTAAGCCCTAAACCTTAAACCCTAAGCCCTAAGCCCTAAGCCCTAAACCCTAAACCCCTAACCCTAAACCCTAAACCCTAAACCCTAAACCCTAGACCCTAGACCCTAAACCCTAAGCCCTGAACCCTAAACCTAAATCCCCCGCGCCCCAAGATGGCTGGCACTTGCTTGGCATTTTCCTTCCATGGGGATCTCCAAAACTGCAAGGGATTTCGCGGGTTTTGGGTTTAGTTAGGGTTTACTTCGGGTTTAGGGTTTAGGGTTTAGGGTTTAGTGTTTAGTGTTTAGGGTTTAGGGTTTAGGGTTTTGGGTTTACTTAGGGTTTAGGGTTTCTAGGGTTTAAGGTTTAGTTAGGGCTTAGGCTGACTTCTAGCTCCCTGTGAACTCAAACCCTACAGATTAGTAGCAGGTAAATGGAGCCCCAGCCCCTAAGCTTGAATCAACAAGCATGATATATGTATATATATATATATATGTATATCTACCAACCACTGAACAGAAGCAGAAAGAGGAGGGTAGCTCTCTGAATTGGGGTCCCTTACGGGTGCTCTTTTAGAACTATATAGGGTATCCAAGAATCGGGATCCCAGCCTAGACAATTACCCCGAAATCCTAAGCCCCAAACCCGACACCCTTTATCAGGGGGTACATAGGTGAGTAGGTCCTAAACCCTAAACCCTAAACCCTAAACCCTCAACCCTAAACCCTAAACCCTAAATCCTAAACCCTAAACCCTAAACCCTAGCCCCTGAACGGTTGCTTGTGGCCCTGCAGGTCCGGCGGATCGACGCAGCAAAGGACATCGCCGAAAACTTGTCCAAATCTCCAAACGTCATGTGCGCGCCTTTGTGGGTCTTAGGGTTTAGGGTTTAGGGGTTAGGGTTTTGTGGGCCTTACCTGGGACTCTTGGTTTTGTTTTACAGTATACTACCATTTGCCCTAAAACCTGAACCTTAAAACCCTAAACCCCAAACCCTATGAGCCCCAAACTTAAAGCCCTGAACCTGCAGGTAAATGCAGCTCGGCTTCGCAGGAGTTTGGGCGCTTCTGTAATAATTTAGGGTTTAGGGTTTAGGGTTTGGGGTTTAGGGTTTAGGGTTTCTATAAGGCTTTTGCCATGTACTTCCGAGTTCGTAGTAGACATGTTATTTCGGGAAGTAGGCATTGACCGCGCATCGACTTCTAGAAATCGCCTTTTGAGGTAGTATATAGGGAACCTGACCCTTTTCTCGGACGCTCAGGCTCTCCCAGCGGGCCAGCATGCGCAGCCTGGACGCAGGCTGAAATTCCCCACCCGGAACGTTGGGGGCCTGTCCACCGACGTGTATGACGAGCTTATGACTTGGCTCGACAACTCGACGATGGATGTTGCTCTGATACAGGAAACTCACTGGACGCTCGGGAACGACTGGCAAACCTCCAAGTGGCCTTTCATTAATTCAGGGTCTGCCACCCATAAGCAAGGCGGCCTCCTGACGACATCGCCTCGTACTGTGTGCAGGGTGGGGCCCCCTTACTATACTAACTGTAGTTAAGGGACTTATAACCTAACTTAGGGTCCTTATAACCCAATTTAGGGCCCTTATAACTCTACTTATAACTAGGGGGCCCCACCCTGTGCGACACAGGTGAGCCAGATTATACGGCTCATCAGTTTGGTACCTGGTAGACTGCAGAAGTTTCCCGAAGCTCTAAACACTGCAAGTCGTGATTCAGCAGGTTTATCTAGTGGGATAGCCCCAGTCAGGGTCCCTTTTTGAGGACTTCGAACTCCTCTGTTTGCACCTGTGAAGTCCCTCTTTTCCAACCCTGACCCTAGACTTTAAAACCCTAATTAGACCCTAGGACCCTTAAACCTAAACCCTAAACCCTTGACCCTAGGATCCTAAACCCTAAACCCTAAGCCCTAAACCGAAAGCCTAAACCCTAGGACCCTAGAACCCCTGATCCAAATCCTGGAAGTGAACCCTAGAACTCTCAATTCCCTAAACGCTAGGACCCTAACCCCAAACCCTAAACCCCAAACCCTGAACCCTAAACCCTAAACCCCAAACCCTAAACCCCAAACCCTAAACCCCAAACCCTAAACCCCAAACCCTAAACCCCAAACCCCAAACCCTAAACCCCAAACCCTACACCCCGAAGGATGCGCAGCCCCTAAAACCCCTGGAACCCCAGAACCCTAGACCCTAGAACTCTAGAACCCACTAGAACCCCCTCCCTAAACCCTAGCACTCTAGAACCCTAAACCCTCGAACTCGCCCCAAGCCCTCTACACCCCAACCCTAAACCCTACACCCTAAAACCTAAACCCTAAACCCTAAACCCGAAGCCCTAAACCGTAACGCTAAACCTTAAACCCTATTTAGGGTTTAGGGTTATGTAGGGTTCATAGGACTCCTTGGCTTTGTAGGGGTTGTAGGGTCGAGAGGTCTGTAGGGCTTGTAGGGTGTGCAGGTTTATTTGATTTGTAAGGGTTTTCGGGTTTAGAAGGTTTAGGTTTATTTGGCTTGTGGGATTTATTGGGTTTAGAGTGTTTAGAGGTTCAGGGTTCATAGGGTTTATAGGACTTCTCGGGTTCAGGGTTTATAGTTTTTAGGGTCGAGAGGTTCATGGGGATGAGCTCTTGTTATAGGGTTCTGAAGGGAGGAGGGTTCAAGGCGGGTATGTAACCCAAGGTTCCCTAATACTCCCCAATACTCCCTAAGGCTCCCAACGCTTTCCTAGTCCTAAGGTTTGCTAGGTACCTACCCCCCTTAGTGACCCCTAAACCCTAAACCCTAAACTCTAAACCCTAAACCCTAAACCCTAAACCCTAAACCCTAGACCCTAGACCCTAAACCCTAAACCCTAAACCCTAAACCCTAAACCCTAAACCCTAAACCCTAAACCCTTTCTGAAGAACCCCATAATCTTGGCACCCCAAATCCCTGAGTCCGGAGCTTGATCAGCTTCCCAGGATTCTCCTATATCACGCCACCTCTTTACCTAAGTAGCCCCTAAACAACCCCCTTAATGACCCCTAAACCCCTAAACCCCTAAACCCCTAAACCCTAAACCCTAAACCCTAAACCCTAAACCCTAAACCCTAAACCCTAAGCCCTAAACCCTAAACCCTAAACCCTAAACCCCTTAATCCTAAGGGTTCCTCCTTGAGTCCCTTGAAGGTACCTGCCGAACGGGCAGCAGATGCTGCTCAACGTCGCTGGGGGAGCACGGCCGCAGCCTGGCTACGAGCAGCCTTGAACCCTCACCCTACACCCTAATCACCCTAAACCCTACCCTAAACCCCCAAACCCTACACCCTAAACCCTAAACCCTAAACCATACACCCTAATTCCCTAACCTGCCTGATTAAGCCCTGAGACCCAAAAAATCCTAAGCTCGAAGCCCTAAACCCTGAACCAGACTTTGAAAAGGGCTTCGGGCTCTGGAGCTTTAGGGTATCTGGGGATGACCTCCAAGCCTTATAACCCCCAAACCCTCACTTCGGACACCTGAAGCCCAAATGGGTTTAGGGTTTAGGGAATAGGGTTTAGGGTTTAGGGTTTAGGGTTTAGGTTTTAGCCCTTCCCTGTGTGTCACTGTCTCTGTCTCGGTCTCCGTCTCCGTCTCCGTCTCTGTCTCTGTGTGTGTGCGCGTGTGCATGTGTTTGAATGGCTCGGTCTGAGGCAGAGCAGCAAACATTCGCTTCGGGGGGGGGGGGGGGGGGGGCGGGGTGAAGATCACCCGGGCCGTTTTCAATGCCGTGCCGGCCATGAAATGGTTCAACGCTGAGGCTTCGAGGCTTCTGAGAGCCCTTGCCGTTGAGTTTAGCAACGGCATTCTCCCGGATGGCTTCACCAAGCAACCCTATCGCTCCCTACCAATCTCCCCCCCCCTAACCCTGCTCGTACCCCTGATATAGGGATCAGAATAAATACTCATGATATTCTCTTATGGTTCCTTAGTAACCAAGTTCGAATTATTTAGGCCCCTATGGTATATTGTCCCCAAACCCCTTTAAACCAAAGCCCTGAAACATCACTAGGAACGACTGCCAAGACAACCAGCAACCTGAACACTCGACCTTCCCACCAACTCCATCTTCAGAGTTTGCGAGAGGGAACGCCTTGTCAGCCCTAAACACTAAACTTTTAGAATTTAGGATTCGTAAGCTAAGAGTTATAAGGCAAGGCTTAAGGCTTCGCCTCTAGGGTAGGATTTAAGGCCTATGGTGAAGGGTAACGTGCTTCTCGGTCTCCTTTCAACCCAGCCACCCCTACAAGTCCCTGAGCCATGAACCCTAAACCCTAAACCCTAAACCCTAAACCTTAAACCCTAAACCCTAAACCCTAAACCCTAAACCCTAAACACTAAACCCTAAACCCTAAACCCTACAGGGCTTCCCGATTCCCAACTCCCGGAAGCTGGGGAAAAACACAATCCATGAAGCCCCAGATGTTCTTAATCAGGCGCGCGGGCCTTGGGACCCCCTAAACCCTAAACCCTAAGCCCTAAACCCTAAACCCTAAACCCTAGACCCTAAACCCTAAACCCAAAAACCCTAAACCCCGAACCCCGAACCCCGAACCCCTCAACCCCAAACCCCCTACTCCTGTGAGCCACCAGCATTAATCAGAACAAGAAATCCCTTACTCCTAGACCCTGAACCCCAAATTGTGAAATCCTAGACCCCGGCCTGAAGGCATCACTCGGCTCTAAACTTAAAACCCTACACCCAGGGTTTAGGGTTTAGGGTTTAGGAAGCTCTAACCCCCTAAAATCCCTTAGCATCTCTCCAGGCAGGCCTGAGGGCCCCAGTCTCCATCCCATAGGCGCGCAGGCGGTGTAGGGTTTAGGGTTTAGGGTTTAGGGTTTAGGGTTGAGGGTTTAGGGTTTGGGGTTGAGGGTTTAGGGTTTAGGGTTCAGGGTTTAGGGATTAGGGTTTAGGGTGGTTGGGGGGTGGGGATAAGGCAAAATTTGAGGTTCTCGGGTTTCAGTAACGCTTTGGGCTCAGGGTTTTAGGGGGTTAGGGCTTTGGTGTTTAGGGCTTAGGGTTGGGTATCGTTCGTCGTTTGGTGGGAGGTCATGGAGGTTCGCTTGAAGTGGTTTCGGGCGGGAGACTGGCGTGGGTGGAAAGATTGAGTCGAGGTTTTGCGGGCTTTAGGGGTAGACAGGGTTTATGGGGTTTAGGGTTTAGGGTTTAGAAACCCTAAACCTAAACCCTAAACCCTGAACCTTAGGATCAGGGTTGCGGGTTTAGGCCAATTCTGTCCCGTCCTTCTGTGCAGGGGCTGGTCCAAGGTTTTATGGGCTTCCCTAGTACCCCCCTCTATACTACCCCCCCTTCTCCCTAGGTTGTTCCCTTGAATAATTAATTAAGCTTAATTATCCCTAAATAGCCTTAACTACCGGGGGAACCTCGGGGGGGGGTAGTATAGAGGGTGTTAGTAGGGGAACCCATAAAAGGTTGAGTGCTGGGATGCTTTCAGGTTTGCTTGTCCTTGCGACTCTGGGGGCTTCTGGTGGTCTAGTGTTTGGGTTTGGGGGTTTGGGGGTTTGGCGGTTTGGCGGTTTGGGGGTTTGGGGTTTAGGGTTTAGGGTTTAGGGGGCTCAGGGGGTTTAGGGCCTAGGGTCTAGAGCAGGATTGGGCTTCCTAGGGCGTTTAGGTGACAGATTGGCGTCGCGCGCCCGCGAGTGGGTGCGCGATTTTCCTGGAAACGCATCTCAGCATCTCTCTCCAATCATGATGGACCCAAAGCCCTGAGCCTTCTAAACCAACCCTAAGCCCTAGTTAAAGCCCCTAAATCCTGAACCCAAGTATCTTCGTACTTCAAGACTGTGATCAGCACCCATAGATGTTACCTCGCAATCGGACTCAACACCTGGCCCCGGGTATGCCCTCCGGCAGGGTAGACGTATTGAATAGAGTGCTTCGCGGGTTTGCTTAGCCCAGCCCCATGCACCCCGTTAAGCTAAAGCCCTAAACCCTAAACCCCAAAGCCCAAAGCCCTAAACCCCAAACCCCACAGCCCTAAACCCTAAACCCCCAAGCCCCAAACCCTCAAAAGTCCTGACACCTGAACCTCTGAGCCCGCTCACCAGGCAGCCGCTAGTGAACAGTCGCTGATCCGTGAAGGCTCTTCATGAATGCCGGGCGGGGTCAAACAAGAATCCGTAGGGTTTAGGGTTTCGGGTTTGGGGTTTAGGGTTTAGGGTTCTAGGGTTTAGGTTTAGGGTTTAGGCATCCGGGTTGTTTTTGTCGTATGGGGTTTCCGAGAGTAGGGGTACCTTACTCGGGGTCCTTATCATAAGGCGATTCTGTTATTTGGGGATCTTTCTTAGGGCTCCGTCTGGGGTTTGACTTAGCAAACCCAAGCAAAGAGAAAGATCCCCCGCTGGAACGGGTGTCCTGAAGAGCCCTTCACCTGCAGAGCCATTAGGCGCTCCTGAACTCAAGGGGCTACAGGAGGGACCCTTATAAGGGGCTCTTTAGGGGTCCTTTCGGGGCTACTTAGGTATGCAACCCTAAACCTTTAAACCCTAAACCCTAAACCCTATATTTCGGGGTCCCTCCTTATACCCCTTAAGAAACCCAACTCCTTTTCACTCCTATTTTCACCAGGCCTCGCACATGTGAGGCAGGGTTGCCAGGCTTCACCCTCTACCCTCAAGCCGGTTCCTACTTTTGGGGTAGTAAAGGAGTCGGAAAAATGACTGGCAGTCGCAGTATTCCCGCAGGGCCCCTTTGTAAAGTCATAGTTGCCCCCAAAACCCTATTCTAATTATTATGGCCCCTAAAGTAGGGCCCTGCATTACAAAACTATCAGCCGGAAAAGGGACCAACTTAGTCAGGCATCTTACCACGCGCCCTGACTCACGAAGCGCAAATGGTTTCCAACGAAGGTTAACGGCTTAGGATGTAGGGTTTAGGGTTCACAGTAGGTTTTACTCCAGTCATCCTTCTGTATACCGGCAGAATCCAATGTCGGGTAGACCCCTTGGGGTGCATTTTTGATTTTCTTTTCTTGTGGTTTAAGAGTTTCATCTTATTTGGGGATGTTGTTCGCAGGGTTTTAACGAGTGTTGAGATTAACCATGCTAAAGCTTAAGCCTATAGGGCCCCTGAAACCCCCAAACATCAAATTTAAAACCGGGCGATGAAACCTGGCGGCCTGGCGTGAGAGAGAGTCACAGCAGACATGGAGGAGAAACGCAGACGCGGAAGATTCGGCTTAGAGCTTCGGGCCAAGACACTTTAAACCTTGAGCCCTGCACCCCACCCACCAAATATGTTTAGGGTCAACCCGAAACCCTGAACCCCAAACTCGTACACCCCTCAACCCTACAGCCCCAAACTCCTGCCCCTAGCCCCTAAATTCCCCCCAACCCATAAGCCACTTGGGGCCCTCTGGGCATCGGGCGCGTGGTTTGGCTTAAGGGTTTGGAGTTTCGTCTAGCTGTTGGGTTTTTAGGTTTAGGTTCTGCCGTCTTGGGCTAGGCTTCAAGATTATTTAGGGTGTGAGGCTTAGGGTTTAGGGCAAAGTTTAGGGTTTAGGGTTTGGGGGTTAGGTTTAGGGTGTAGGGAGGATTGAGTTGTTTGTGTCTAGGCTTTGGGGCAGCAGGGTTAGCAGCTGCCACAATATCATGCCGGCTTTCTCTCGTGCGCAGGAGGACCACTGACTGCTAGGATGCATTTACTAGAGCCCTAAACCCTAAACCCTAAACCCTAAAGCCTAAACCCTAAACCCTAAACCCTAAACCCTAAAGAATAAACCCTAAACCCTAAACCCTAAGCCCTAAACCCTAAACCCTAAACCCTAAACCCTAAAAAATGAAATCTAAACCCTAAACCCTACACCTAAACTCTAAACCCCAAACCCTAAACCCTAACCCCTAAACCCTACCCCCCCCCCCCCCCCCCCAGTTGCACTGTTTAAATGCACTCCTTTGAGGGTGTAGGGTTCAGTGCTATGTTCCCTTTGCAGTCCGATTCGCAAACAAAGGGTTTAGGGGTTGTGGTTTGGGGTTGAAGGGTTTTGGGGCTTAGGGTTCAGGGTTTGTGGGATTGCTGTTCCTAGGTATAGGGTGCCAGCTCCTTCGCGGCGGCGAGCCATCCCAGCCATGGATCTGTCTGATGTGCAGCAGCAGATGCCGCTTGGTTGCCCTAAACCCTAAACTTCCCCTAAACCCGAAACCCTAAGCCCTAAACCCTAAACCTGGGTTTCGCCTGAAGCCGAAACGGCCCTCTCAGCCCTAGAATAACACCTCTAAGCCCTGTTTCAACCCTAAACACCAAAACCCCACCTGAGGCCTAAAGCCCGAACACCCTACACCAAAAACCCACCTAAAGCACAACACCCTAAAGTCCTAAAGCCCTGAACCTCAACCCCCCCCCCCCCCACCCCCGCCCGCCTGCCCAACAAAATTCACTGAAACTGAACTCACCCCCCCTCCCGCCCCCCAAACATGACTCAAATTGAAACTGAAACTCCACCTGAACCCCCCCTCCCGCTGCAAACGCATAATCTGAAACTGACACTGAAACTGTTTCAGTTTCAGCTTCTGACTTGAAAATAAGCTGAACCAACCCCCCCCCCCCCCCCCTCCCACCCTCGCCCTGAAACAGAAACTGAAATTGACCCAAACCGCCCACCCATCCCTCTCCCACGGCCTGCGCTGAAACTGAAACTGAACCCCCCCCCGCCCCCAAAAGAGTAACTGAAACTGAAACTGTTTCAGTTTCAGTTTCTACTCTGAAGCTGAACCCCCCTCCCCCCTCCCCCGGCCCAATAAAAATAGCTGAAACTGAGACTGAACCCCCCTTCCGCCGGAAAGAGTTCCGAAAGAATTCATTGCATTGAAGCTGAACTGTAGCCTTCGCCCTGAGCCCTAAACCCCATAAACCCTACAAACCCTTAATCCCCAAAGCCCTAAACCCCAAACCCACAACCCCAAACCCTAAACCCTAAACTCTTGTAGGTCCAGCGGCTTGAACTTCGGCATGATGCAGGCGCTGAGAACCGGCAACCCGCGGCTTTCCCGCAAGCGCTGGGGGGGGGGGGGTCTGGGATGTCGGGTTTGGGGCGTGTAGGGTTTAGGGTTCAGGGTGCAGGGTTTAGGGTTTAGGGTGTAGGGTGTAGGGTTTAGGGCTTAGGATTTAGGATTTCGGGTTTCGGGAGCAACCCCCAAAATCGTCTTCGAAAGCTCTGTTCAAAACCTCAAATCACCAAGAACCCTGCTTCAAGAAACCTCAAGTTTAAAGCCAAGCCCTGAAATAAGGATTGTGGACGTGCTGATCTGCATGCTCATTCCCGTCCTCTTCAGCTTCCTCATGGGCCACAGCTCCTCTGATCCCCTTAGCTCGAAGTTCATCGACTCAGCACGCTACGCGCACCCGGGATCCGACTCTGAGAGTTCAGGGTTTAGGTTTAGGGTTTAGGGTTTCGGGTTTAGGGTTTAGGGTCTCGCGCTTGGGTGATATGTAGGTTGTGTAGGTTTAGGGCTTGAGGGGTTTAGGGCTTTAGAGCTCTAGGGCTTTGGGGTGTTCAGGGTTTCGGGTGCGGGGCTTTGTGAAGCATTGGGGGTTGGGGGTTTGGAGGTTTCAGGTGTGGAAACCAAGTGCTTCGTGGCGGCATGAAGGGGGTTGCCTTGCCCTGCCTACTCAGCCGTGATGCACACTAAGCCGCAATGCCTCAACAACCCTCAACCCCAAACCCTGAGTTGTAATAGCCCCCCCCAACAAATGACCTTTCTAGGTGTTTCCAAGTATATTCTATATATATATATATACATGTATATGTATATGTATATGTATATGTATATGTATATGTATATGTATATGTATATGTATATGTATATGTATATGTATATGTATATGTATATGTATATGTATATCATATATATATATATATATATATATACACACATATGTTTCTTTATCTATATCTTGTTGTTGACATGTTTCTTCTTGGTTGCTTTGTTTAGGGTGACAAGAAGGGTCCAACATTAGGCAAACTTCCACGAGCCAGGGCACAGTTGCCCGCGGTGGTTGGAGACCAGAATGCTTCCGTCACAACCTTGCCTTCTAGTTTAGAAGGCAAGCTTAAATTTCCTAAACCCTAAACCCTAAACCCTAAACCCTAAACCCTAAACCCTAAACCCTAAACCCTAAACCCTAAACCCTAAACCCTAAACCCTAAACCCTAAAACCTAAACCCTAAACCCTAAACCCTAACCGCCGAACCAGTGCTTCCGAGACTGCTTGGAAGGTATGACTTTGTCACTGGGACAAAGACGTACATTCGGCGCATCGAATACGAGGCTGGGCATCTCGGGCCCCAGCCCCCCGAACCCGAAGGGTTTAGGGTTTAGGGTTTAGGGTTTAGGGTTTGGGGTTTAGGGTTTAGGGTTGGGGTTTAGGGTTTAGGGTTTAGGGTTTAGGGTTCAGGGTGTGTTTGGGCTTTAGGGTTTTGGGTTTGAATTTGGGGTTTTAGGGTTTGGGGTTTGGGGGTTAGGGGGGGTTTCGGGTTTGGGGCTTGGGGAACCCTACGCCCTACGCCCTAGACCTAGACCCTAAGCCCTGTAGACCCAACCTCTCAATCATCGGGACGCCGGGAGGCTTACAGTATTTGTGTAACCAACAACTCAAACTTAGGTCTCTAAGTCAATACGAAAACTTCAGAAGGACATAACCAAGCGTAGCCAAGACCTTTGATCCTAATCATCATCTCTGAACCCTAAACCCCAAACCCTAAACCCTAGACAGGACAGAGGCCAACGCTACGTCTCTGACGATCGCACTGCTTTGGACACTTCTTCGCGCAACAACATCCTGCAGAAAGCCATCAAGATATACATGCAGGAGCGGGGTTCCCGACTGCAGGTTTAGATCCTTATAGCCTCTTTGGGACTAAGAGGAAAACCCTCAACCCTGAAATCCCTGAACCCTACACCCTAAACCCCAAACCCTAAACCCCCAAACCCCAAACCCCACCCTACACCCTAAACCCTAAACCCTAAACCTATATAAACCCTAAACCCAACGAGTTTCTTAACACGGAAGCTAGAATCCTCAGTTATCAGGCAGGTGCCCCATGTTCAAGGAGACCAGGCTTGATTCGAAGTATCTTTTGAAGCACTCTGGGCTCTAAACTCAGTAGCTGAGTGAGTACACTTTACCTTTTCTTAGGGATACTATAATCCCCTATAGAAGTGAAAGTGTAAATTTTCTTGGGGCTTATGAACTCAGCAACTACGTAAAGCCCTAAACCCTAAACAACCCAACATAACTTAATACACGTGTAAGCAGTGTAAGCCTAAACCCTGTAAACCCTCCAAACCCTATAAACCCTGTGAACCCTACAACCCCCATAAACCCCACAAACCCTATCAACCCCATAAACCCTATCAACCCTGAACCCTAAACCTGTACAGCTGTTACAGGGCACTGCAATATCCACCCTAGGAGAAGTGCTCCCTGGAGATCGACGATGCTGAGGTGTATCTCATTCCGCAGAAGGAGATCAAGCTTGAGAAGGATCAGTATCTTGGTAGCCCAGTGGAAAAAGGGTTTAGGGTTCCGGGTTTGGAGCTTGGGGTTTAGGGCTCAGACTTTAGCCCAGTGGTACACCCTTACCCTTTTGCCCTTTGGGGTTCTGGTTTTCCTTGTAGAAAGGCACCCAGCCTTATCGCACCATGGCTATCGGGCTACCAAGGTATGGCGATCTGTGCGTTTTCAGTGGCAGACCCTGTCTTGCACTTGTGCACGGTTTAGATCTTTGACGACGACCCCCCGCCCCCCCACAAAAAAAGCAAGTAATAATCCCCATATTGCCCTTATAAGGAACATTTTTTACTTTTTGGCCAGTTCTTAAGCAAATAGGAATTGACTTCAGACATTTGGAATGCTGCATGGCACGTGGAGGGAAAGAGCAACTGTGTAGGGTTAGCAAAGCCCCATGTTAACAAGCGAAGTGGGACCCCCCCCCCCCCCCCCACCCCACTTCCATCTCTCTTCAGCTCTCGAGCGACGAGAGTTGCGGCTAGCCCGCGCCCACGTGAGCTGACACGTCAAGCCGATAAATCAAACACGATATTGGAAAAAAATAGTGTTCGTCCATCCAAAACTTCATGTAAACCCAAAACCCCTTCAGTTTCTCTCAGTAGTGCCACTGGGCGCCCAAGGCTACAAACAGCTTCTGGCATACGCCGTCAACCGGCTGCCGAAGAAAGATCACTGGGTCGTCGTCGATGGGACTGCACCAACCCTGTACTTCAGACAGGCAATGGATGTTTCAGAAGAAGGCCATTGGGGGCAACTGCGAGCTTTGGGGCTTGAGGATATGAAGGGCATTTAGGGCATCTAGGGTGCTTAGGGTGCTTTTAGTGGGCTAGGGTTGGGGATTTGGTGTGCTTAAAGTGTGATTCGGGTTCGGGTTAGGATGTCTGGGTCTACTTGAGTGCGGTGTTGCGACTGCCCGGGGCAACCTTAACAGCTGCCTCCCATCATCAGCCTAGCTGGCCTGCCCCTTGCAAAGGAGATTGCAACACAATTGTCTGACCCTAAGCCCTAAACCCTAAACCCTAAACCCTAAACCCTAAACCCTAAACCCTAAACCCCAAAGAACACAAACAACTCCCTACTGCCGCGTTTCGACAGGCGAAGGCCAAGGCCGTATCTGCATCCGACGCTGGCCAGGGAGGCCTTTCTTAGTGCTCAGGATTTAGTTTTTGGGTTTATAGGGTCTTGGGTTTATACTGGGGTTTCGGCTGCGCAAGGTTTGATTGACGCAGGCCCTTGGGTTGGTGATTGAGGGCTTCAGGTGTTGAGGCTTTCAGGGTTTCGGTTGGTAGGACTCTGGTGACTTAAGCTTCCGGGGACACTTGCTCTTTCCGGGCCAAGTTCGGTTCGTGAAGCTCGCACAGCGCGCGAAGCCCAGCTGGTTTAGGGTTTAGGGTTTAGGGTTTAGGGCTTAGGGCTTAGGGCTTAGGGCTTAGGGAAATAAATGTCAAAGTTTTCGGGAGGCTCTATGGCCTATATCATGGGTAATTAGATGCCGGGAGCCCTCGTAAACACGCTCTGAGCTTTAAGTCGTAAAGCTCCAAGGGTCCTAAACAGGAAGCGAAAGCAACTTCGAACTGAACATGGTTGTCTCCACGCCAACATCCTAGACCCTGAACTTCTAAACTCCCCAAACCCTAAGGCCCTGTAAACCCCTAAGCCCCCAAAACACCTGAACCCCTGAACCCCCGAACCCCTAAACCCTGAACCCCAAACTCTAAGCCCTAAGTACTAGCCCTAAACCCCAGGAAACTTCATATTCGAAGCCCTAACTCTAAACCCCAAACTCTGAACCCCATCTACTAAGCCCCAGGAAACTTCATCCTAAACCCTAAACCCAAAACCCTAAACCCGAAACCCCAAGGAAACTTCATCTTCGAGCTCCGGGCGCGAGGGCCGAAGGCCCAAGCCAAGGTCGATAACTTCATCGACACCGCCTTCGACTTCTACAAGCAGAAGAAGGGGGAGGACATGAGTAAGTTAGGGTTTAGGGTTTAGGGTTTAGGGTTTAGGGTTCAGGGTTTAGGGTTTAGGGCTTAGGGCTTCGGGTTTAGGGCTTAGGGCTTCGGGTTTCGGGTTTAGGACGGGGTGGAGGGGAGGGGCTGCTTGGGTGTTCAAGGCTTGAACAGCCCAAGTAGGGTTTTCAGGACTTCGGGGATCAGGGCTTAGGGCTTCTAGTCTGTAGGCTTTGGAGTTTAGGGTTAGGGTTCAGGGTTCAGGGTTCAGGGTTCAGGGTTTAGGGTTTAGGGTTTGGGCGGACGATGCGGCCTTTCCCATGGCAGACAACGATGCTGAGGCCACCATTCGCCGAGCGCGAGCTGTTGTCGGAACTGTGCTTACAGTGTGCCGGCACCACGGCATCGAAGCAAACCTGAAGCCGGGCAAGACTTCGCTCCTTGTCAAGTTGCGAGGCCGAGGCTCCCAGCGAGCGGCGTGGGAAGCCTTCCCGAGCAAAGCCTCGCACCTGGAATGCTGCTGCCTTGGCCAGATGGTCCAAATAGCTGTTGTGCCATGCTACAAGCACCTGGGGGGCATTTTGGACCAGGGAGGCAGTGGACACGCGGAGGCCAAGCACCGAACAGCGCTGGCCACTTCTGCCTTCGAGGCCTATGCGAAGCAAATATTCCACAACGTGCAGATTGACCCGGCGACGCGCTATGGCCTCTTTCCGAGCCTGGTGGTGTCGACATACTTCAACATTGCCCTGTGGGTTTCGGGTGGACCAAGCTGGTGTCGTATGGATGCGGCCTTTTCAAGACTGGTGCGGCGTCTGGTCTGGAGGGAGCATGACAGGGCTGCTTTCTTCCGGCTTCCTGCTGCTGCCGCGCACGAGCAAACCGGCGTCTATCCCCTCGAGCTCTACGCTAGCCTGCGGCGAATTGGACTGATGAGAGCGGCTGTCTCTGCTGGCGAAAGCTTTCTTTGGGCGCTCTTGCAGACTGAGGGCGCCTGGTGCGCGCAGGTGACCAAGGACTTTGCGATGTTCTTCCCGCCGGATGGAGGATGTTGGCCGCCCTTTCAACAAGCTCAATGGCCTCTCTGGTGGCACATCTTCAAGGAGCGCTACCCGGCCGTCAAAGGTGCAGCAAAGCGTGCGGCTCGACGCATCTTCCGCGACTACCTCAAAAGTGAAGCTGGCCGCCTTTTCCAGGCCACGCTCTGCAGGGAGGCGCAAAAGACCGTCGGACTCTTTGCGGCAGAATACCCATTGGTGTTCGGACCCTGCGAACGGGGTTTTGCCACAAGGGCTGGACTTGCCACGCACTTTTTCAATATACATGGCAGGACTGCAAGACACAGAGAGGTTGCCAAGGGTTCCATTTGTCGTGGTTGCGAGACGGACTTTCACAGCTACTGCCGACTCTTGGTGCACCTCCGCTCTGCTACATCATGTGTGGATAAGCTGCAAGCAGCCGGGCGAACAGTTGAACGTCCTGAACCAGGCTTTGGCAGCAAGGAATGGCGACGGCGACAACAACATGAATTCCATGCAGCTCCTCCAAGAGCTGCAGAGCCAGAAGAGCTACAGGGGCCTGCTCCGCGCCCTGCAAAGGAAAGCCTCCTTGACCAAGTCTGCTGTGACATCGGGCTGAAGTTCTTAGACCTCGACGATGCCGAGATCCACAACAACGGCCACGACTTCATGATCAAGCTCCTGTCCAAGTACCCGCTCTACCCGGAAGAGTGCTTTCATGTGGTCAACGCTCTGGCCGCTCAGCTACGTACAGACGCAGAAGTCACTGAGGCTCTGCGATGGTCTGAGGGGCTCAAGTCCTGGGTGGTTTCCACACTCAGTACCTTTGAAAGAAGCTTCGTTGGCTTCTTGATGAAGGAGACACCGGAGATGGAGGCTGAGGGCTTGCAAGCCTTCCGAACCCCATATGCATGGGACAAGCTCCTTGAACATGTGCAGTTACATAGGCCTATCCAGGAGACCCGCGACGCTCCCCCTTGCTGCTGCAAACTGGGGCCTGATTGGGAAGCTGAACTATCAGGTCCAAGTGGGGTCGTTTCGTCTTCAGCCCTGAGTGGCCGACGTGACACAGTTTCTACCTTGAGGATGCTATGGGCGCGAATAGTACAGGGAAGAGTTTCTTACTTCCGTGCGCCGACAGGTTTCCTCAGCAGCGCCTTCGGCGCACCTTTTGCGGCTGCTGTGCAGTACGGCCGCCTTCAAATTGCAACCTATAATTAATGTGGCGACATCTCTAACAATATTGAAACAGGAAACAGGGTTTAGGGTTTAGGGTTTAGTGTTTAGGGTTTAGGGTTTAAAGTTAAGAGTCTCAAATTCACATGTATTCAACAAACCTTTCAGATGCAGAGGAGCTTACCAATACTACCGAGCCACGGCGTAAGCCAGAAGCCGCTGAGGGCCCTCTGTCGCTGCCACCCCTGGTAATCCCAATGGGCTCAAGGAGGGACCCTGAAAAGGGACCTTATATAGGGGTTGTTTAGGGGCCATTTAGGGGTCATTCAGGGGTTTAATTCGGGGCTACTTCGGTATGTAGGGACTATAGAAGGTATATATTTGTGATTTCTCTAAAGTATGGTCCCTTTTGGGTCCTTCGTATCAGGGGACCCCTCTTATTTGGGGTATCCCAAAAAGGGACCCTGATTTAGAGAACTGGCCCCTTAAACTCGCCAACGCTTTATTGGTCTGAGTTGTTTAAAACATGAGCCAGACAGAGTATTTGATATCCACTCGCGGGAACATAAATTCTTCAATGCTCTGGGATAGTAACTTTAATAGTAGAGATAGCCCCAACCCCCAAACCCCAAAACCCTAAAACTTGGGGATGTTCCCCCGTATACTAGCAATCCTTAATACGGATCAGACTACCCCCGATTATCATCCCTATGAAGGACTGCTAGTATAAGGGGGAAACCCTGAAACCCTGAAACCCCAAAACTCCTAACCCCCCTGAAACACGGGAAACTCTAGACCGTTCTCAAGCGTAATGCAGCCGAAATGGATAGCTACTATTTGCTTAAGAACCTCAAAAGAAAAGACAATGATCCTTGTAATGCCCGTATAGGGAAGAACATTTTCTTTGTTGGGGGGGTGGGGTTCTTCAGTCTTTGGGTTTAGGGTTTAGGGTTTAGGGTTTAGGGTTTTAGGGTATAATTGCCACAGTGGAATCCCTGTGCATTCCCGGTTTGAAATGCCCAGAATGCCCGCTTCAACTATTGCAGAGTTTAGCCCTGAACTTACGGAATGAGGGAACTAGGCACCTAACATCTCCTATATTACCCGCTAAGGGATGATGTAGAATACCTACTTCCCTACTGAGAACTAGTAAGTAAAATCGTTAAGGACCCCTGTTTTGGGACGTTCTCCCTTATACCAACAGTGCTTCATAGGGATTATGCTAGGGGGGGGGGTACTCCAATCCCTATTAATTAAGGGCTCTTGGAAAAAAGGGGAACCTCCCAATAACTGCCCTAAACCCTAAACCCTAAATCCGAAACCCTAAGCCCCAAACCCTAAACCCTGCAACCCTTTAAACCCTAAACCCTCAACCCTCAACCCTCCCCCATATCCCAAGCCCTATTGAAGCCCCGGAGCCCTGTGGTGCAGGAGATCGACAAGAGCCGCTATCTCTACCAGCCCGTCCTGACATCCTCCAAGACATCGGAGGAGGTCTGCTGCACCCGAAAAGGGTGTAGGGTTTAGGGTCTAGGGTTTCGGGCCCTGAAGACCCTCAACCCCGAACCCTACATCCCAAGCCGCTGACCCCAAACCCCAAAACCACTAAACCCTGAGCCCTGAACCCCACTTGAACCTGGAGGGCGGGCAAGACTAAACCGCCTTGGCTTAAAGATGCTTTCGCAGGTTCTTGGAAGAGAACTCGGGAACTCGGTACCCCACATGATCTACAGACTCCCTTGAAAGGGTTGTCTAGGAGGGCAAGGCAAAGGGCATCTAGCTTCCTCAGTCCTTGGAAGAGCGGGGGCAGGATTTTGCAAAGATGCTTCCACATCCTCTAGCTGGTTCTGCTCCTACTCAAAAGCGTGTGTATCCCTGAGCTCTTACTAAGAATGTGGCAGGCGTTCAGGGATTGTGTCTGTCTTCCAGGATGTCCCCGGCAGAGCGACTAGAAGTCCTCATTAGGGATGACCACCCTGCAAAGCGCCCGAAGCCCTTGAGCCCTAACCCCAACCCTTAACCCTCTAGGAGTGCTATACAAACCCTAAGCCCTAAACCGAAACCCTAAACTAGACCCTAAACCCTAAACCGTAAACGAAGCCTAAACCTGGTTCCAGATGAAACCGAACAAAAAGGCCGGGTCGGATGATGATACAGACATGGCGCGGAAGTACAAGCGCCTGGGCCGAGGAGTTTTCGGATCCCGGTAGCTTACAGTATATACCCATTTGCTTTATATTCAGGGTTTGGGGTTAGGGTCTAGGGTCTAGAGTCTAGGGTCTAGGGCCTAGGGTCTAGGGTTTAGGCTTTAGGCTTTAGGGTTTAGGGTTTAAGGATAACCCCCTTTAAACCTCTTGTTGAAGGAATAGGGTTCAAGGGTTTCGAGTGTAGGGTGTCTAGGCAGGCCCTAGGATTGATTTTTGTATGCTTCCTTCTTGGGTTTAAGGGGGCAATACTCAAGAACATTTTTACGAGAGTCCGAAAGGCCAGTTTAGGGTTTAGGGTTTAGGGTTTAGGGTTTAGGGTTTAGGGTTTGGGGTTTGGGGTTTGGGGTTTGGGGTTTGGGGTTTAGGGTTTAGGGTAGTTTAAGAGATCTTCGCATCAAGTCCCCGAGCCTTACTGCTCACACAGGAACCAACCCCAAAACGGCTAACTTATTCGGCATTGGTTACTGGGCTGCCAAGCTACTCCCTAGACTCACTCCACAGGCCATAGGCTCTACAGGGATGTCGATGGTTATAAGCTTCATACTATGAAGTATTATAGGGTGATAAAACGGGTTTAGGGTTTAGGGTTTAGGGTTTAGGGTTTAGGGTTTAGGGTTTAGGGTTTAGGGTTTAGGGTTTAGGGTTTGTATGGGGATTTTTTCGGCACTCCAACTCGGCTCCTTAACGCCATGGGGACCTAGAGTCACTCCAACTCTCGGCTCCGCAGCAGCGGAAACCATCAGGAGGTACATCCTCTCGGACTCCAAAAGCTTCGACACGCTGTTCTTCCCAGAAAAGAGGCTTAGCTTGACTTGGAAGCATCGCGTGCCCAAATCCCTGGCATCCCTGTATCCCTATAGCCCTATAAATCACCATCTTAGCAGCTGAGTGAGTACACTAGACCTGAAAGTGTACACTTTTGGGGGCTTATGGACTCAGCAACTGGGCCATGTAGCCTGATACACCACCTCTACCCTTGTTTAACCTTATAGAACCCCTGTAAATCCCGATGTAACCCTAAGGATCCACGTACCCATGTAGCATATACTTGGGCCCTAAAGCTACTTATTTAGGAACCCCTTCGTTGTACAAGTATATACAGCATGGGTACATGGACCCTTACCTGAAACCCTAAAACCCTGAACCCTAAACTTTACACCCATGGATCTTTGGGGGTAACCCATGGAAGTTTCAATCCCCCCCAACCCCCCCACCCCACCCCACCCCCCGAAGTCCACTCGAGGAAGCAGCTGCTGAAGCTTGTGGACGATGCTCCGCTGCAGAGCTCTGGGATCTTTTGACCTTATCAAAGGGTCTAGGGTTTAGGGTTTAGGGTTTAGGGTTCAGGGTTCCTGATTTAGGGTTTAGGGTTTAGGATTTAGGGTTTAGGGTGTAGGGTTTAGGGTTTAGGGTTTAGAGTTGCCCTAAACCCCAGCCCAAACCTGGAGCCCCAAACCCTAAACCATGAAACCTATCCTTCAGCCGGTTCAGGGCATGTTGTTCAAGCATCTCGTAGACAGCTGTGACCCTGCGTGAAGCGAGGGGCACCACATGGATGTCCTCAAGGCTTTGCCGAACCTTGAATCCGAAACTGCCAAACCCAGGGTTCATATCACATGCATGTTTACAATAGAAAAGTTCTTACGCATATCTGTGTATATATATATATACACCCCTACAGAATTGTTTGTAGTGCGTACTGAAGACCCGAATGCTTTTAGACGACAGAAGGTGGAGCCACGCCTTACCGAAGAGGCAAGCCCTCGCAAACAAACCCAAGCTTCCGCAGCAGTCCCTGATGATTCCTGCCATGGGTGGCCGCACCCTGCAGCAAAGGGTGTCTTTGGTCGTTCGGTGTGCTGGTCTGTTGGCTGTTTTCCTTGGCTATCCCAGATGCAGTCTCCATCAACCTGGCCGCATTCACTCTCGTTTGCAACGGCGAGCTCAGAGAAGCTACAGCCAAGTTCTGGACTTGCCACAGCCCGAGCGCCTCAAGCATCTGCTGTCGCTGTCCCCGGGACATTTCGAGAAATTGATGGATGATGCAACGATGAAGGTAGCTGTGCCCGATGACCTCTTCGAGCTACTTCGTAGGATCTGCAAAGACATGGACATCCCGGGCGAGTCTTGGTAATCACCCCCCCCCCCCCAGTGGTTTTGCTCCTTTTTTCTGGCTCCAGGCTCCCTTCAACAAACAACCCACCCCGAAAAAGGGCACCCTTCTTAAAATATGGGTATTTCCCAAAATAGGGGTAGCCTCTTTTATACCCCAAATAGAACAACCTCCAAGAAGGGCACCCCTATGTTCGTAAACACGCATTTGGCGACTGTGCTCGCAAGGAAACCCTATAACCCCGAACCCTGAACCGTAAACCCTAAACCGTAAACCCATGACAGGAATGCATACCGGCGGTGACCGGTGGGGTCAAGGGGGGAGTCGGACTGAAGTACCGCAGCGACCTGGACGTTGCAGTGGAGACGCCGCACCATCAGTTTCTCGGTCGCCCACCCCCCGCCCCCCCCCCCCCCCCCCCCCCCCCCCCTAGTGGGTCCTTTTTCCGTCAACCCTAAACCCTACACCCTACACCCTAAACCCTAAACCCTAAACCCTAAACCCCAAACCCTAAACCCTAAACCCTTTCGGGCTTCCTAGGTCGCTTATATTCCAACAATACCCGGCGCCTCAAAAGGGAGCCCTTTTTTGATCCTCGGTTTGTGGGATCCCAGGTTTTCAAGGAAGGAGCGCGCTGAATTTGGGAGGCGGCTTGAGGAAAGGTTGCCCAAGATCGGCTTGCAGTATGAAGGCCTTTGTGGGTTCCCCTCCTACCCCCCTCTCTACTACAACCTCCACAGGTTCCCCCCTCAAATAGCCGTTATTAGGTTTAGTTATCCCTGAATAGCCTTCATTAAATTCGGGAACTTAGGGGGGGGTAGTAGGGAAACCCATGAAGGCTTGGGGCGGAAAGCCTTCAAAGTAACCTTCCCGGATGACTACGGGGAAGCCGTTGACATGGACATCGTCCTCCGCAATGTGACCGCCTGGAGTGAGAGGCAGCCTGAGCCTGTCGTCATGGACAAGGACTTCAAGTCAGCAGTGAAGGCTCTGAAGATGTCCCTGGGACTCTGTTTACGTAAAGATCAGTAGTAACTACCCTGAATTAGTAGCTTCAACCCGGGAAACTGGAGGTAAAGAGGGTCCCAGGTCCTTCCCCAAGATGTGGTTCAGCTTCCTATTCACCGAGCTGGTGGCTGCGGTGAGGGCACATATTGGAACATGCGAGGCGACGTCTTGTTCGCCTCTGCGGTGGGGCATCTGCGCGATGAGACTGAGATTATGGAAAAAGTCGTGGATGATCAGCTGTTGCGGTACGAGGAGGCTTACCCGGAGCCTGACCCTAATAGCCCGCAAGTGAGCAAAGTCAAAGAAGGCCCGGCGAAGATGGCGGAGCAGATTCAACGCGTCATGCCCAGATGGCCTCATGTCCCGTTGAGTATTGGCGTTGCCACAAGGGGGACGTTGATGAGCAAGCAGCTAGAGATGGGGCAGCCCATCCCAGCATCGAGCAGCTGCAACTGGACGAACTACCACGATAATTCTTCCTCGTTGCTGTTTCGGTTTTTTGCAGGCGAAAGAGGACTTGTGAAGGATAACTGGGAGCTGGACGGGTTGACCTTGGATTTGCCCATAGACCGGGGTCCTCGTAACACTGCAGACGTCGTTCTGTCAGTGCGGCTTTGCGAGCAAGGCGTGCTGCGTGTCAAGGCTGCAAACAGACGTGGCGGCAACTCAACAAACGCCACGTTCGCCTTCAATTCCCTCCGCGTTGGTTCTGATATCCTGGAGGAGTACCGTAACGTACCTCCTGAGCACGTTTCCAACTACCAGCATGAAGCGGCACGCAAAGTCTTGGAAGATGTGATCTTGCAGATTGAGTCCGACGAGGCCTTCGGTCAGTTCAAAGGATTTGGAGGTCCTGTCTTCGATTTACTTGAAGCGAAAGAGGCTGCCCGCAGCATTCTCGAAGATGCAAGCTCGTTCGCGATTCAGTGCTTGCTCGAGCATGCTGCAGGCTTGAGCCAGCGGCTTCAAGCGGTTCGCGAACACAAGTAGCTGCAGGTTCAGGGTTTATGGTTGAGGGTTTTGTTTAGGCTCTCTGTGCACCGGAAACCAGCTCCTTGCGTCAAAAGGCTGACGTTCGGACCGGTTTGTTGCGCTGTCCAGGGTCGCATTTCCTCGTTGCAGTGCTGCGTCTTCTGCATGTATGGTTGAAGCGGCTGTGTTGTCAATATCCAGTCAGCGAGTTTATGTGCTATATCGTTGACACCTGCTCAGTTGGTCTGGTCTAGCTACTCTTTCAGGATTGGTCTACATCAGGAAGACACCCCGCTCTCCACCGGCAACCTTTATAGCATCAGTCCAGCCTGCAAAAAGACCCAAGTACCCGCGATTACCCGATGCTACGCAGTGCAATGGTCGCTGAGCCTTAAGCTGAGACCCTGCACCGAAAACCTCTTAACCCTGAACCGCCTAAACCCGAACCCTGAAGCCTGAACCCTAAACCTTGAACCCCAAACCCCTAAACCCCTAAACCCCTAAACCCCTAAACCCCTAAACCCCTAAACCCCTAAACCCCTAAACCCCTAACCCCTAAACCCCTAAACCCCAAAATCCCTAACCCCCTAAACTCCTAAACCCCTAAACCCCTAAGCCCTAAACCCGTAACCCCCTAAACCCCTAAACCCCTAAGCCCTAAACCCGTAACCCGTAAACCCTAAACCCTCCAGTTCTAAGCCCCTCAAGGACTTCCGCCATGGCCGAGGCCGGCGGCCGGCAGCCTTTTGTGATCTGAGGTTTACGGACTGCAGCTTGGGTTTAGGGTTTAGGGTTTAGGGTTTAGGGTTTAGGGTTTAGGGTTTAGGGTTTAGGGTTTAGGGTTTAGGTTTTAGGGTTTAGAGTTCAGGGTTTAGGTTACGCACTTCCGGATTTGGGGTCAAAGAATTGAGGTTTGTCAGTATTCTTGGGTCTTTTTTTGCAGACAGCTTCGAGATGGAGATGCGCAGCCGCACCGTGTAGGGGGTATGTAGTCAGGGGGATTGGTGCTTCGTGTCAAGCGGCCATAGACACGAAGAACCTGAACCCACCCACCCTCAGGTTCGTAGCAGGGAATTTAGGGAATGAGTGCCCCATGTACTCCCTTAAAGGGTATAATAGGGCCCCAAGTCCCTCATTCCCTGGTTTAGGGTTTAGGGTTTAGGGTTTAGGGTTTAGGGTTTAGAACCAGCCAGACCCAAAGTATGCACCACCTAAACCCTGTAAACCCTACAGACCCCGATAAGAATCAGGGCTTCGGCTTCGCTTGAGAGTTACACCCTAAACCCTAAACCCTGAACCCTAAGCCACCCTAAACCCTAAACCCTAAACCCTAAACCCTAAACCCTAGAGTTTGAGCAGGCAAGTTCGCCATTCCTGGGCGACTCGGCGCAGGGACATGTGGGACCAACTCTCGGGCTTTTCGGGCTTCCCAAAACTCCCCCAAACCCTAAACCCCAAACCCTAAACCCTAACCCCTAAACCCTAAACCCTAAACCCTAAATCCTAAATCCTAAACCCTAAGCAGCACGAAATCTCCACTCAGAGGCTGGGCCTGCAAGGTGCTTAGGGCTTTAAGGGGTACAAGGAGTGACCCCTGGAAGGGACCCTTAATCTTAGTCCCCTGTATAACCCCTAAAGAACCTTATATTGTCCCTGTATACCCCAAGTTTAGGGCTGGGGTTTAGGGTTTAGGGTTTAGGGTTTAGGGTTTAGGGTTTAGGGTTTAGGGTTTAGGGTTTAGGGTTTAGGGTTTAGGGTTTAGGGTTTAGGGTTTAGGGTTTAGGGTTTAGGGTTTAGGGTTTAGGGTTTAGTTTGGTAAGGTCTAGGGCTTGGGTTTCCACGGAACTTCAAAACCCGAAAATCCGGCAACTGAGGTTTCCCAACAAGCTGGGCATCCTCCTGGATGGCCCGCCCGGGACGGGCAAGACGAGCCTCATCAAGGCACTCCTGATCCACCTCACAGAGGGTTTAGGGTTTGGGGTTTGGGGTTTAGGGTTTAGGGTTTAGTGTTTAGGGTTAGGGTATAGGGTATGGGCTTTGAGTTTTGGGTTCCAGGGTCAAGGGTTCACTTGGTTTACGTCTATAGGGCTTTTAGGCTTTGCAGGCTGAACTGCAGGGTGTGGCTGCTGGGGTTTGTGGTTGTGGTGGCGGGCTTCAACGGGCTAGGGCATTTTAGGGTTTAGGGTTTAGGGTTTAGGGTTTAGAGTTTAGGGTTTAGGGTTTAGCGTTGTCCCTGCTGCGAAACGGGAGCCGCTCAAACTATGAAAGACGCTAGCGCTCAAAAGAGCTGCCAACCGTTCTACATCTTATTCCGTACATCAATGTGCTTAAGTGCCTCATTCCTACCTCCTTGTCATCGACAAAAGTCCCCACCCCCTAGAACCCTCAGCCCTAAAACCTGAAACTTGAGGCTCTGGCCATCTACCCTACACGCTAAATCCTAAACCCTCAGCTCTAAGACTCTAAGCCCGAAACCCTAAACCCTAACCCTAAACCCTAAACCCTAAACCCTAAACCCTAAACCCTAAACCCTAAACCCTAAACCCTAAACCCTAAACCCTAAACCCTAAACCCTAAACACGCTAAATTCCAAATCCCTCCGCTCTAAGCCCTAAACCCTCAAAGCCTGAGGCTTTGGCCATCTACCTGCAACGGCACATTGTGTCGGTTTCCCTGGAGAAGGTCAAGACCAACCAGGCAAGGCAGCTTCACACAGAGGCTTTCGGGCCCCTGAGCCCTGTACCGTACGAGTCCTTAATCATGCGAAGCAATCCCCTGGGTCCCAAACCCCTAGACTCTACTTCCCTAAACCGTAAACCCTAAACTCAAAAAAGAGGGAGCAGGGCTTCCAGCGGCCCTCAACCCTACAGGCTTGTGTACAAAAGCACCCCAACTCCATGACATCCCCTTCAGCTTCCCTAACCTTCATAGTAGCTGAATGAGTACACTTTACACTTTTTGGGATACTCTAATCTCCTGTAGAACTGAAAGCGTACATGTTTCGAGGCTTATGAACTCAGCAACGAAGCCCACGCCCTCACAGAAGCCCCAGCCTAAGGGTAGTTACATGGTCCCTTAGTATGGGCCCTTAAAAGGGGACCCCTTATGTCCCCTTATATACCCTATACATATCAAGGGCAGAGCCCTGTAAGGGAGGTAAGGGACCAGATTAAGGGCCCATGCAACTATCCTTAGACCCAAGCCTCGGCTTTTGAACATGGAGCTTGGAGCTCAGGGTTTAGGCTCTGAGGTTTTGGAGTGTGGGCCTTCGGGTTTAGGGTTTAGGGTTTAGGGTCTAGGGTTTAGGGTTTAGGGTGTTTACGGTGGGCTTTCCGGCCAAAACCTTCCTAAGCCCTACAGCCCCCAACCCCGAAACCCCCTAAACCTCCCAGACTGTCGAAGCACCCTGAACACCCTCAACCCTAGAACCCGACCCTGCTTCCAACCACAAAGCAAGGAACAAGCACACAAAACCGTGCAGAACTTTTCAACCCTTAAGCCCCCAAACTCAGGGGTTTTCAGGTTTTGAGGGTTTAGGGATTAGGAGGGATTTCGGACCAAAGGGTTTAGGGCCGTAGGGTGCTTGCTTAAACCCTAACACCCCAAACCCCACCCTATACCCCAAACCCTAAAATCCCCCTTTCCCCTCCCTTTGCAGGAGCTGATGGACATGATGTTCGACCTCTCCTACTCCGTGAAGGGCGAGGATGAGCCCTTCAAGATGAAGTTTGAGGAGGCCGATTCGGTTTAGGGTTTAGGGTTGAGCTTTTAGCGTTTAAGTTTAGGGTTTAGAGTTCAGGGTATTTTGGGGGGCTTCTAGGGCTTTAGAGTTCTAGGTGTTTTTGCATCTTGGGGTTAAGGTTTTGGGCTTCAGGGGTTTGAGGGTGGAGGAGTATTGGGCTTCAGTGATGGCTGGGAGCTTATTTAGGGTTTCCATTTGGTTTAGAAGGGAAATATGGGGGGCTTCTTTGGGAGGGGTTCTTTTGATCAACTGCCATATGAAGCACAGTTTTTTGTTTGCTGCTATACCCTAAACCCTAAACCCTAAACCCTAAACCCTAAACCCTAAACCCTAAACCCTAAACCCTAAACTATTGGTGTGAAAATGTTGGGTGTCCTTTTGCGGACATCACCGCCGTTTATAGTCCCTTACATGGGAGCGGAGGCGCCTGCCCCCTTTTTGTTGAAGCCCAATCCCTACATCCTAAAAGCTCTCAGCCCCTGAATCCCTAAACCCCAAACCCTAAACCCTAAGCCCTGAACCCTGAACCCTGAACCCTGAACCCTGAACCCTGAACCCTGAACCCTGAACCCTGAACCCTGAGCCCTGAGCCCTGAACCCTAAGTCAGGTCATCTTCGTAATGGAAGATGTGGACTGTGCCTCCAGGGTCGTGTTTCGCGGCTCCATTTTGGGCTTGCGCTTGCTACAGGCTTAGGGTTTAGGGTGTATAGGGTTTATAGGGTTTAGGGTGGATAGGGTTTAGGGTGTATAGGGTTTAGGGTGTATAGGGTTTAGGGAGTATAGGGTTTAGGGTGTGTAGGGCTTCCAGGTTTAGGCTTGAGGGGCTTATAGGGCTTTTGTCGGGTGCGGGGCTTGGGATACCTTATGCCCAGAGGGCTAGGGTTTCGAGTTTTCGGATTTGGGGTTACGACGATGTTACTTTATGGGCGCACTGGACAGGAGCACTGGCTAAGACTTCAGCATTTTAGACGTTGGGAGCTCCAGACTTCCTGTACTATCCCACACCCTGACCGAGAGGTTTTAGGGGCTGGTAGGAGTCTTGAACTTCTGAATTGGTTGTTGTTTTCAGAACCGTGTCCCCCTGATACACCCCCAGAATACTGTAGTCCTGGAACACCCCAAAAAAATAGTAACCCCCTATTTTGGGAAACCGAGCACAAACAGCGCTTTGTTTCAGGTGTAAGGGTTTGACGGGCTAACCCCCAAGCAGGAAACCCCCAAAACCCTAAACCCTTGTGTGGGGGTCAGTCTTGTAAGTCTGGCCCTAAACTCTAGCCTGCTGATTGCTTAAGAACCCCCCCCCCCCCCCCAAAAAAAAAAAAAAAGAGTGAAAACAAAAACATTCGTTCCTATAAGGGTAATATAGGGGTATTGTTTTTTCTTTTGGGGGTCTTAAGCAAATAGTAGTAGACCCTATTCGCTAAAGCACAAACAGCTTGTTCATGGTCTACTTCAAACCTAAACCTTGTCATTTGTTGTCAGTGTTTCTTCTTTTGACTATACCTTAGCGGCTGTTAACACCACAGCGGTACCTTGGACCCATATCCTTGCTGGTTCTTAAGTCGAAGAATTGTATGAGAACGTGAGAATCAGGTACCCCATATGATTCCCTTAAATTGTTTGGAAAAGGTACCTAATTCCCTCATTCCCTAGACCTTATGCCCCTAAACCCAAAACCAAAAGCTCTAAACCCTAAACCGCTCATTCCCTACTAAGAACCAGCAAGCACCCCCCCCCACCCCCCCCCCCCTGTGCCAGGTATGCGCGGAAGGGAGCTTCGGCGGCAGCAGCTGCCCAGGCGGATGACCACTCGCATCGATTCCGCATCTTCCGGGACTTAAGGGTTTAGGGTTTAGGTTTAGGGTTTAGGGTTTAGGGTTTTGGGTTTTGGGTTTTGGGTTTTGGGTTAAGGGTTTACAAGTGTATGCGGTTGATAGCGTTTATTTGGGGTTTAGGGCGTCCACTATGGAATGAGTTAGATGCCCCAAGCCCTCTGTCTACTACACATGGTCTTGGGGTGTTTTTTTGTTGTCGTAGTTAAAGGTTTTTGGGGGTTTCAGGTTTACGGTTTACATCTTGTTTGCTCCGCTGAAGGAGGACGAGAGGAGGGTTTAGGGTTTAGGGTGTTTTGTTTTTGTGGCTCTAGGTTCCTTGGCGCGAACTGTCAAGTTCGGTACCCCCCCCTCCAAGACAAGACATGGACAAAAATGGAAGCGACATGATTCGGCGTAAACCCTAAGCCCCGAACCCTAAAGCCGAAGCCCTTAACCCTAAACCCTAAACCCTAAACCCTAAACCCTAAACCTTAAACCTTAAACCCCTAAACCCGATAAACTCTAAACCCTACAAACCCTAAACCCTATAAACCCTAAACCCTAAACCCTAAACCCTAAACCCTAAACCCTAAACCCTAAACCCTAAACCCTAAACCCTAAACCCTAAACCCTAAACCCTAACCCCCACTGTCCAGGCAGGGAGCATGCTCACGGCGCCCAGCACCGTCGACCCCGCAGTGCCCCAGCTGGGATGCGATGCGATTTGCAAACCCCATGAGGCTTGTAAACCCTAACACCCCCTTAGAGTTTAGGGTTTAGGGTTTAGGGTTTAGGGTTTAGGGTTTAGGGTTCAGGCCTTACAGCGTGCGTCCAAGTGTCAGTAGCACTAGGGTCTACAGCTCAAGCAGTGGCTGAGCCTTAAACCCAACAGCCCAACCGTCAGCTTAGGTTTTAGAGGTTAGGGGCTACACTAAAACCCTCCACCGCCCAAAGCCACCCCAGATCCTTCAATCCTAAACCCGGAACCACCCCACATCCCGATGACCCTAAACCCTAAACCCTAACCCCTAAACCCTAAACCCTAAACCCTAAACCCTAAACCCTAAACCCTAAACCCTAAACCCTAAACCCTAAACCCTAAACCCTAAACCCTAAACCCTAAACCCTAAACCCTAAACCCTAAACCCTAACCCTGAAACCCTAAACCCTAGACCCTAGACCCTAAACCCCAAACCCCATGATCTCTCCGAAAGACAGGACAGCACCGCCGCGCCCGCACCAGCCGCCAGCCCACAGTTGGACCAGGTGTCAACAAATGCTGCGCCACTCTGCTCTGTTTATTTAGGGTTTGGGGTTGAGGGTTTTGGGCTTTATAGGGCTTATGGGATTCCAAACCTCAAGCCCTGAAACCCCAAAGCCTAGAAGTGACACCCTAAACCTTTTGCCTGTGCTTCGGAGGGCCTTTCGTCGGTTTTGGCGGTGGGGGGGGAGCTTGATGGAAAAAAGCAGGCTTGGGTTAAGATCTTCCGACTCCAAACACCTCTCTTAAACTGACGGCCCTGACCCGTGTAAACGCCTTGCAACCTGGGGGCCTAAGACCCTCAGCTCCTTGACCCCTAAGCCTAAACCCTATGACCCCCACACCCCCCCTGCACTCAACCCCAAACCCTAAACCCAAAGCCCAGAATCCTGCAGGCCGCCACAAACCCCCAATGGTAGCTTCTCCTTGACGGCCAGCTAGCAAGACGCGCACTCTTCGTGGTGGGGCCAGGTGGGGCTGCTGGCAAATGACAGTACGGATGTAACTTTCAATACAACAATGAATATACATTAACAGATAGGTATGCATGAAAACTATGTGTGTGTATGTGTGTATGTGTGTATGTGTGTATGTGTGTATGTGTGTATGTGTGTATGTGTGTATGTGTGTATGTGTGTATGTGTGTATGTGTGCATGTGTGTATGTGTGTATGTGTGTATGTGTGTATGTGTGTGTAACTGTATATGTATATATATATATACACGTAGGGCAATGATTGCGTTTTGGGGGTCTAGACACAGCTTCAACCCCACAGCAAACCCTAAACCCTACACCCTACTCAACCATGGGCCCTAAACCCTAAACCCTGAACCCTGCAGACTGCACCCGCTTCGACCCTCTCAAAACCCTAACAGCCTGAACCTTATGTAAACCCTAAGCCCTGAACCCTACTTAGCAGCAAAGCCTGGGCAGCATTCCCAAAGCCAAACTCGCAAAGTCTAAGCCTTGAGCCATCTGAGTCCCTGTAAGCACTGAACCCTTTAGGCTTTAGGGTTTAGGGTTTCGGTTTTTAGGCTCGGGGGGGCCCCTAAACCCTAAACCCTAAACCCTGAACCCTAAACCCTAAACCCTAAACCCTAAACCCAGAGACGAAGGCCCCTCTACCGAGCGCAGTCGGAGCCCGTCCGCGCGTCGGATCCCAGCGACCCCGCGCTGCTCAAGCGCCGCTTGGCTGGCTTTGGGGTTTAGGGGTTTAGGGTTGGGGGTTGAGGGTTTAGGGTTTAGGGATTCGGGTTTAGGGTTTAGGGTTAAGGGTGACAGAGGCGGTTTAAGAGTTCAGGGGTTCAGGGTTCAGGGAGTTTAGGGTTTTGGGGTTTAGGGTTTAGGGTTGAGGGTTAAGCTTAGGGTTCAAAGTTTTGGGGTCTAGGGTTGTGACTTGGTTTGGTGCTTTTGATTTCGAGGGCCCGAGTCCGCGTGGTGTCTGCGATGTGATTGGCTGCCATGAGCAGCTTTACAATGTTTGGGGCTTGGGGGTTTTCTGGGGAGCGGGTCTTGGCGGTGTCGAGTTTAGGGTGTAAGTTGTATGGCCGAGGGTTGAATAGGGTTTGGGGGTTAGGGTTTAGGGTTTGCGGTTGAGGGGTTAGGGTTTGGGCTTATAGTAGATGTCAGAGGGCTTTTTAAAGGAGGGTTTTGGGGGCGGCTATCGGTCTTCTTGGGCTTTTGCTTCGTAAAGTTTAGGGCTTCTCATTGCCTTTTTTCGGCAAGAAGTTAACCGTTCTTTCGATCACATGACGAATACATTGGATTAGAGGTTAGAAATACTGTACAGGGACCACAGGCTTTAGGGCACCCAGGGGGTTTCGGGCTTTTGTGGCGTTCAAGGGCTTTCGGGGATTCGGTTTCAGCCCTCTAGACCCCCGCAATCACACTACAAGCCCTCCCAAGGATTGAGGGCTTAGGGGTTACCCTAAACCCTACACCCTATAAACCCTAAGCCCTAAACCCTACAGTACACCCTAAACCTAAACCCTACACCCTAAACCCTATAGGGACTTATGGTGTTTTCGCGGTCTAGAGGAGAAGGAGTGTGGAGTTTTGGGAGTAGAGGTTTATGTTTTTCTTGGTTCGCCCTAAACCGTAGCAACCTAAGTCCTGCACCCTAAACCCCTAAACCCTAAACCCGACCCTAAGACCCTAAAACCCCAAAACCCTAATTGCCTAAAGCCTAAACCCTAAAACCCTAGAACCTGACACCCTAAACCCCTGGGGTCTCATTTTCCCTATTCCAGGAAACCTAAAACCCTAAACCCTCGCCCTTTAAAGCCCTAAAAGCCTAAAACCCCCCCAATCCCTAAACCCTAAACCCTAAACCCTAAACCCCAAACCCTAAACCCCTATTTCAGGCAACGCGCCCTTCTCCATCCCAAAGATGCTGCGGCAAGTGTCCAAAGTCGCCGAATTGACGCAGGAGAGGAAGGGTTTAGGGTTTAGGGTTTAGGGTTTAGGGTTTAGGGTTTAGGGTTCAGGGTTTAGGGTTTAGGGTGTAGGGTTCAGGGTTTAGGGTTTAGTGGTTAGGGTTTAGGGTTTAGGGTTTAGGGTTTAGGGTTTAGGGTTTAGGGTTTAGGGTTTAGGGTTTAGGGTTTAGGGTTTAGGGTTTAGGGTTTAGGGTTTATTAAACCTATGGCATTTAAAAAAAGCCATCTATTCTCCGTATCGATCTCTGTTTTCCTCTCTGTCTCTACCTATGTCTAAGTTCAATGGCTGCTAGTAGTAGAAATTTTGATGAGCAGATAGGCTGCATATAAGAAACTACGACTTGGGGTTCTAGGTCTTTCTAGGTAGAGATTCTTGTGCCTAGCCCCCGAACTCAAAACCACGATGCCCCTAAACCCCAAACCCCAAACCCCAAAGCCTGAACCCTAAACCCCAAACCCCAAACCCCCAAACCGTAACCACAAACCCTAAACCCCAATCCCCAAACCTTAAACCCGAAACCCATAAACCCCAAACCCTATAAGCCCCAAACCAAACCCTAAACTCGACAAAGCCTGAAGCCCTGATCCGCAGGATCACGCGGACCCCAGCGAGGGCGGAGGCGCTTCGAATTCGGCCCCCGAGGAGAGTGCGGATGCCGCGGCGGAGGAGGAGGACGAGGAGGAGGAGGAGCTGCAGGGTTTAGGGTTTGTAGGGTTACAGGGTTTAGGGCTTAGGGTTGAAGGGTTACAGGTTTTTAGGGTTTCAGGGATATAGGGTTAGAGGGTTTGGGGTTTAGGGTTACAGGGTTTAGGGTTTAGGGTTTAGGGCTATAGGGTTATTGGGTTGTCGGATTTTAGGGTTGTAGGGTTATAGGGTTTAGGGTTTAGAGTTTTATAGGGTTACAGGGTTTAGGTCTTATAAGATTTAGGGTGGTAGGGTTTTGGGTTTAGGGTTATAGGCCCGCCGTAGGGATTAGGGTTTAGGGCGTGTAGGGTTTAGGGTGTCTGTGGTTTCGGGTTTAGGATCTGTGTTTTGGTTGGTTCTCTCGTACCGTTGCAGTCCTTAAAGTTGTTTCGCTAGATTCTACCGGCTGAAGGCTTCGGGTTAGGGTTTAGGGGTTTAGGGGTTAGTAGGGGTTTAGGGGTTTAGGGGTTTCGGGGTTTAGGGGTTTAGGGGTTTAGGGTTTAGGGAGGAGCCGAGCGTCTGAATGTTCGTTTTTTTTTTTTTTTTTTCGGGGTTACTTGGTGCAAGCTTTCGTTGTGGCTTACTGTTACACCCGCCCACCTCTAAATACCTCTGATGTGGGAGATTATTTGCCTTTATGCCTCGAAACCCTTGCGAAAAAATGGGTGTGAACATGTGCTATCAATTCGCAAACTTTTGGTGGCGAATTGAAACCCCAAACAGCCTAAACCCTCAACTCCAAACCCTAAACCCTATAAACCCTCAACCCGAATACCTTAATACCCTAAACCCATACCGAAACTGAATCCCCCCAAACCCTAAACCCTACACCCTAAACCCTAAACCCTAAGCCCTAAACCCTAAACCCTAACCCAAAACCCAAA